CGCAGCAGTCCAAAAGCATGCCAAGATAATTTGGGGGCCTGAATGATTAGAATGGGGTTCTGGGGTTCCTTATTGTAGCTAATATAGGGGCTTTAATGGTTAGAATGAGGCTTTGGGTTCCTTATTATAGCTATCGTGTAATAATGAATAATAATTAGAGTAAACGCCCGAAAAAGTTGGAAACCTGATCACGGACAGATAGTGCTGGGATTCCCTATACATTGCTCTTAAGGATTGAGGCTATTGGGTTTCCAACTTTTGGGCTTCTGCTGTACGCGGGTCTTTTTCGGGCTTTTGGGATTTCGGTTCAGGGTTTCGGGCTTAAGTGCAATCTACGTGTTCAGCGGAACACTACTGGAGACCCCAAGCCATCTAGTAATAGATGCGAAGACAGGATCTTTCGTGTCATGATCCCCCCAAGCCGAGATGGCATCTAAAACAGAGTACATGGCCCGAGATGCGCATAATCGTGTAGAGATACTCGGGGTAGGATGGCCAGGAACAAAATTGCAACTGCGTGGGGATGATTCTAACGCCTAAGCGCCAAACCCTGGTCGTCTTTATGGTAACCCCGAAGCCTTAAACCCTGAACCCTGAACCCTAAACCCTCAACCCTAAACCCTGAACCCTAAACCCTGAACCCTGAACCCTGAACCCTAAACCCTAAACCCTAAGCCCTAAATCCATCCATCCATCCCAGGCCCTAAATCGTAAACCCGAAGAGCGAAACCGGATTCCCCAACGAATCTCCGAGGCACTGCTCAAGTGCATCTCGCGAGAGCTCGCGTCGAGCTTCCTTTCCCTGCAAATCTTGTCCTCCCTGGGTTTTGTGACGCTTGGCTTCGTCTTATTCTTTCCAAATGGGGTTTAAGGTTTAGGGTCTTATCCTATGGGTTTTGTGACGCTTGGCCTTGCATTCTTTCCAGATGGCCTTTAAGGTATTTTAAGGTTTAGGGTCTTGTCTTCCTTGTGTTTTGTGATGCTTGGTGGCCTATTTTGCACGCAACACCCGAGTTGCTTCCTCTAAACCCTAAACCCTAAACTCTACACGCTAAAACCAAACGTGTTTCCATCTCATGCTCACGGACTCGTTCGCCGCACGAGCAGAGCTTATGTTTTCTTCTTCTTCTGACCATGAGTCCTAGTCCTGTTGTTCTTAATCTTAGCCTGCTTGTTATGCTTACTGTTCCTCGGTTTCTGCTTCATTGCTACTGCTAGTCTCAATCTCATTCGTACTATTATGATGATTGGATCTCTTTAGACGGTTGTATTTTCAAGAGCCCCTACGATGAAGGGGCATGTCGAGGCGTTTGTGGGATTCGGCAGACAGTTTTTGGCGCTCGGAAAGGCAGGGTCTGAGAACATCCCTAAGCCTCAACAATCCTGAGCCCGAGTTTAGGGTTTAGGGTTTCTTCAACACTTGAAGGCATCTCTAATCATACGAAGTCCCTCAGTCTCAACTCCAGGAACTCCAGAGCTCTGGTTGACGGTTGGGTCGAGTGTTCGTGGACTTTAACACGTCTCAGAAGGGGGTTGAGCAGCAGCGTCGGCATCTCGCGTGTGTGAATGTGCACGCACTCATATGATTATGTAGCCGGTATATGCATGTGTATATGTATATGTATTTGTTTACGTAAGGGTATTTGTATCTGTATCTGTATATGCTTATGATTATGCATATGTACATACATACGTTTTTGCATGTGCATGCAATGCATGTATACATGCATGGAGTCGGGCATAGTATGCCATGCTACAGCTGCTCTGGGAGTACATATCCTTGCCCAAAGGATTTGCTAGAGACAAGCTTTCGGCCAACCCTGAAGCCCATACCCTAAACCTAAACCCCAAACCCCTAAACCCTGAAAGTCACAATGCTGCCCAA